GAATGCCATCAAACATGGATTCAAACGGAGAGGAAACCGATCAGCGTAGTCAATTCAATACCAAACACCGATCGGCCGCAGGCGATCGATATTTCAATAGAATCAGTCCGCATGGCGTGAGCGCGTACGTGTGTGTCAGAGCAGAAAGCATCTGTCAATCAAGTGCAGATATGCATGACAAACATATTAGTCAGTTTTAGGGCCCAACAGTTTGCGTCAGTAAAGTCAGGTGTGGATCGCATTTTACACCAGCTTCGCTTTCCCCTGGCGTTCACATGCGACCGCTACAGCAAAGATCTATGAACGTGAGTAAACCAGAAAGGAAAGTCAGACATAAAAATAGAAGTAAATTGGAATGAATTGTGTATTTAAGTCCCATTTTAATATGCCCCATAAAAGACTTATTATAAATGCACTCGTTGTGTGGATTTACCGGGCTTGTTGGGGAATAACGCTGCTGTTAACGGTCATGTACATCCACGTTTGATTTTCAGCATACAAATGGTATAAAGAATGTACGTTAACTTTAAAAAAAAAACATCGAATTACTTCAGCTTTGATAACCAATACATACTATTCTGTTCATTATTCCTAACCAGTCTGAGTTGCTGTGAAATACAATCTCGACTGGCATCTACCCGAGCGTGTATGATTCGGTCAGAAGCTCTCAAATGAAACGTAATTGTTTTCTCACGTCGTTGCTTCCGTACCTAATTAACTGACTGAATGTGATTGGAGGAGGGCAAAACGAAATTGGCGAAGTAGTTCTGAGCATCTGTGATTAGCACAATGAGATTGCGCAACAGATTTGCTCCAATCAAGACAGGAACTTCAACCTATTTCCTTTTTGATTGCGTCATTCACTGGATAAACAGAAGATTATCCGCGAAGATGAATTGTAAAGAATGGTCAGTGGGAATTCCTAAAATGCATCCCATACAATTATACAAAACCCACATTAAAACACTACAAGTTTCGTTACACAAAGGAGAAAAAGAAGCTGAGTTACAGATGCCGTTTTTGATTCCACACTGAAGAAACATCCACACAAACTTTCCCAACGGAGTATATAAAACGACAGCGTTTGACTCCCTAAGATAATGACACCCGGTACGGCAAGAATGGGGGGATACATTCACCGAAGAGGGTTAACTGTGAATAAGTTGTGGCATACCACAACAAATAAGCAGTCGCGAACAAACAGAAGAGTTACTACCAGGGTGTGGTGGGTTTCAGGCAGCTCATCTGGTTCCTTCTTAAAAGCCGCATAAGCCCAGCGACGGTTTCGTAATAAAAGTAGATGTGACTGTCCCTTTAAAACTACACTCATTGACCCCCTCATTTCCGAGGCGAGGGATTACTTCCTGCTGCTTTGCAGTTCGCACTTCGTTGTGCAAAGGCTAGAAGTGCGCCCTCAATATAAAACCACGTCGAGTGATCTTGGGGACGTCTCTCGTAACAAACGCTCAAGGATATTCGCGATCATGATCATGTCTAGAGCTGGCGAATCACTTCCAGGGAGCCAGTCGCAGTGAAGTAAAGTAAGTTACCATTGGGCTTATATCAAACTGAAGGTCCAACAAAGTAACATAAAGTAAGTATATGACAATATTTGCAAACGCCAAAAATCAAATGTGAGTATTTGTATGTTATGTGTCTAAAAACAAACTACCCACCTCTCAGCGAAATTGGCAGTCAAAATCAGGGAAATTGTGGTGATCCATGCCTACGTGATGACGTCTATTCTGGAGCAGTGCGTTACAGTTTCTAGACACCTACGATCAATCAAATTTGAAAGGTGACGTCCGTATGGCTTCTGACTACATGCCATTGGTGGATCGTGCCAGCCAATCCGAGAAAGTGCGGAGAAAAGCAGAATGATGCAAGCAATACTGCAATACGATTGGTGGAAGGCTAGATAACCAATGATTTTCTTTTGTGCAAATTATTTAATCACCCTTCATTTCTTGCGATAAACGAACTACGAACCACCATTCTTGTGGCCTTTCTCTCGCGTCTCGTTCACGTGGGGTATTGCAAGCAAGTGCCATTGCGGTTCAGTGCTTCCCTAATCCAGTCCGTGACAGCTGATCCTTGATCCGTGTTCTGTGATTCCTATTTCGTGGTACGCGTTCCGAATTCCGAGCGTAATACCACTACTACTACTGCAATCATTACATAAATTAATTCTTGAAATAATCGATAATTCGTCAAAATTAGAAATGAGCAGTCGGAGGGACGCAAATTTTAGATGATGTTTAAGTTTATTCAGTTAATTTACTTGTCATTCTCTTTACTGATTAGAAACCGAGTTAAGTCTGGTATAAGAGATATTTTGTACAAGTACATTCTAGTTAACAGATGCCAAGTGGAGTGCAGATCTACGATTGAATTTTTCATTGAATACACATGCGACAGTCAATAGACGCGATTGAGGAAGAATGCTATTCATTAAAGAACTATCGACAGCAAGCAGTTTGTGGTCCAGCGCTCTTGATTTACTCCTGGTGTTTAGCATTCCGTTTTGTTCACACGGCAAAAGCAAATATAAATCCCTTTCAAACTTTGCATTGATTTTGCATAGTTTCTGGACCAACGATGTAGAGCCTTCCGTGTTCCGTTACCGATTGCACTGCATGCACGTATCACAGTTATGTAGAGCGAAATACATCCAGGATTTCATGCTTGTGGTACAGCAGTGCAATGGTTTCAAATTTTTCTAACGTACACAATCGAAGGTAATAAATTACGTACTGGTCTTTCGCTTGTAGAAATTCTTAGTATTGTACGACCTGTACAGACATGTTGTTTTGTAAAGGAGGGCCCTTGATGTACCGCTATATCTACAAAATTCCTGCGGATGCTCCGGTGCTACTCTAAATCCATGTCTCTTAGGATCACAGCACATCAATTCTGTTTTCCTTAGCGTAAAGAAGATTTAGTTCCATGCTGTCCACTCGATACCGTAATTCATGAAGTTTCATTTAGTAAAATAGTTTGTGAACGTCTACAGATCTCGGTATTCAGCGTATACGTCCTCGATACACTTTCCTCGTCTGATCGGTAATTCACAATGGTGACCCACAATACTGATGTGTCTGTCAATAACTAATAATTATAATACTGAAGATCATCGTTTAACAAAAGGAGTTCTATCGTTTACTGCAAAATAAGTGACAATACATGGATTAACATTTAACTCTCAGGTACTCGTCAGTGGTAAAGTGGGATAATTGATCGATTGGAACTGACTATCCTTCAGACTTCACTTTTATGAGAGGCTTTCGATTGGAGTTAACAGACAGTCAACTGTGCTTCTGTGAAGATTGTAGTAGCAGTAGTAGTATTACGCTCGGAATTCGGAACGCGTACCACGAAATAGGAATCACAGAACACGGATCAAGGATCAGCTGTCACGGACTGGATTAGGGAAGCACTGGACCGCAATGGCACGAGCTTGCAATACCCCACGTGAACGAGACGCGAGAGAAAGGCCACAAGAATGGTGGTTCGTAGTTCGTTTATTGGAAGAAATGAAGGCTTTTCTCCGCACTTTTTCAGATTGGCTGGCACGATCCACCAATGGCATGTAGTCAGAAGCCATACGCGTGGCATTGACGTCACCTTTCAAATTTGATTGATCGTGGGTGTCCAGAAACTGTAACGCGCCGTTCCAGGGCAGGCATCCTCACGTAGGCTTGGATCATCACAGTCTCTTTCGTTGTTTTCGGGCCGAAATGAACTGACGGACTATCACTGAAGGCGAGTGACACCTGAACAGCACTGGTCCGAGCTGGTTGGCAGAGTGATACACACACCCTTAATGTGATGGGTCCGGAATTTAAAGCCCGGGCGGGATGGTGCATAAGTAACACTGGTATGAGCTCTAATAAGAGTGAAAATAGAGTCTAGTGCCTCCAAGTGTATGATTGATTTATAGAGCTGAGGATTCTGCATGAAGGTGAAGTCTTAGGGATAATCAGCTTAATCAATATATGAGTTGATCGACAGTAACCTGGGAGGATATGATATCGTTCATAGGTAACCAATACATTCGTATAAATTGGCCTTCTCTTCCGCGTCAGTTGACTCTTCTATTCCTGTGAATGAGTTACCTGTTAGGCTTTCAGAGTATCACGTAACTTCCCGTATGAAATCTGTTATGAGGATTCTCACAGAACCTGGCCACCCATTGCACACAGAACTGACACGTTGTTCTTCTCATCTTTCAACGAGCTCCCAATTCCGTCACACTACATCTCGAATTAACGCTCCCCTCAATAAATCTATACCGTATCTTGCCCGCCTACCCATAAACAACAAGTGGGCAATAAGTGAACTTTGTCCTAACCTTGAATTATGAAATATCCCCATGTCTGCATTCTATTATGTACATTGTAACGGATAGTTTGCATGACTTCTTAACTGAAATGTGAGCTCTAGTGCTCGCAAAATTTATGCACAATACAATAAAATTTCTTCACTTCCATTCAACCCCCCCCCTCGCTTTACAAGCCCAGATTCTCCCTTCTACTTGAATAATGCCGCCGTGTGTGGAGTGGAGCTTCGTCCGAATCTTTGTATCTTCCTCTCCCGGTTCAAGATAAAGCCATTCGTCTCGTGAATGACCCGTACCCATCATGTAATTAGGAGTCATTAGTGTAACGTAAGACCAAACCTGCTCATTCGCATCCCTCCTCCAATTGTTCCACCTTATGGATCACGGACGTACTCAAGCGGCTAGTCAAACATTTCAAGTGCCTATTCCCAGGTATCTCTTTTCTTAAACGTTTTTCAATCCTTTTGACATTTTCTTCATGAGAACAACACAGCTGTGTAATACACTCCTACTTTCGGTTCGTCCTACAGCCTACAATATACTTGTCTTAAAATGCAAAATCACTAATCTGTTTCTAAATTGAATGATCTCCTTACCGGTTTGTGTACAGTATATCCTTGGATTGTGGGATGATGTGAGCAAACTAGTAACCTAAAAGTAAGCCCCCAGGCTTTGAGAATGCATTGAACAAGAACTCGCTATCGCATCGCATTCAGCTCAATAGGCTCCGTTGGTTGGGACACATTTTGCACCTTACTTTCACCGGCCACTCTAGTCTGAAGAAAGCCATGTGAAAGCCAGCATATTGCGTGGAGAAGAGGTATGAATAAATACACAGTGCGATTAGGCAGAGTAGTTATCTCTCATCTTCTGGGTTGGGGTCCAAAAGACTCCTAAACTGGATGGTTGGAGACGCTGAAGGTGATGACAGCAAACCGACATCAGTAACGTTCTTGTTATTGCTTCTTATCAGACCAGAATGCTTGAAATCGTATGTACGGTTGAACTGTGTACTCTATGCTGATGTAATGATTGTAGTAGTAGTAGTAGTAGTAGTAGTAGTAGTAGTAGTAGTAATAGTAGTAGTACTCCCTGAACTCGAAATACAAACTACGCAATACAAATCAAGGATCAGCAATCGCCGACTGGATTACGGAAGCATTGGATCGCAATATCCCACGTGACTGAGACGCGAGAAAAAGACCACAAGAATGGTGGTTCGTAGTTCGTTTATTGGAATAAATGAGGGCGATAAAATATTGTGTACAAAAAAGATTATTGGTTACCCATCTTCCACAAATCGCATTCCAGTATTGCTTGCGTCAGTCTGCTCTTGTCTGGACTTCACTGTCTTGGACTGGGTGGCACGATACGCTTATGGTGTGCAGTTAGAAGCAGTGACACGTTCGCTCGTCATTGATGTCAACTTTGAAATTTGATTGATCGCATTTGTTCAAAATCTGTAACGCGCCGCTCCATACTAGGCGTCATCTCGTAGGCCTGGATCACCACAGCCAACCGTTGAGGTTCACATTCTCCCTCCTTCGAAATAAGCCAGATTCCTATCCTCCTAAGATACCTCGTATGCATTATAAGTTTGACAGACAGTGGTGAACGTCGCTTCACTGTAGTACGGTGATGCTGCTGCTGCTGCTGATGATGATGATTCGAATGGTGATGATGCGGATGATGATGATGATGACGATGATGGTGATGTTGATGATGATGATTCTGGTGGTGATGATGATGATGTTGATGATGATGATGATGACGTTGATGATGATTATTCGGATGATGATGATGATATTGATGATGATGATGATGATGACGTTGATGATGATGATTCGGATGATGATGATGATATTGATGATGATAATTCGGATGGTGATGATGATGATGACAGTAATTCATATTATTATTATTATAGAACACAGTTTGGCGAACCAATTGCTTTTCATTAATTCCTTCTCAAGCCGTTTACAGATTACACAGGTAACATTCAAAACAAGGATAAACTGTCGATGCTGACCTCATCAATGGTTGTATACTCTTTCAGATGCGTATGTGGCGCATCTTATGTTGGTCGAACGGCACGACAGCTATCTATTCGGATCAAAGAGCATCACCCACGCTGATTAAGACTAGGATAGACCGGAACAATAAACAGCTCCATTCTAGCCCATTTAGTCGACACCGGACATCAAGTAAATCCGGATGTCGCCTTCAGAGTTGTTTAGCGTGCAAGTGGTGGTCAACTGCGCACTTTAGCAATAGCCGAAGCGATCGGGATAAGAAAGTTGACCCCAGACCTCTGCGCCCAAAAGCGTTTGGTTCAGCCACTCCAACTTCCATGGCCCGTGATCGATCGGTCCCGAGTGTGTCTGCCTTCCGGTTACCCTGATGCCGTAACTTAGTTAAACCAATCAAATGACAAATGCCAGTTGACTATGATAGACTCCTACTCATGATTGGTGATGCGTCTAACTGTGTGATCTGTTTTCTAATGTTACCTATATAATCTGTAAACGGCTTGAGAAGGAATAACTGAAAAACAATTGTTTCGCCAAACTGTGTTTGTTCTAAATGCTGTGATGGGAATCTTTCAGACATTTATTATTATTATGTTTTTTATAACATAAAATAATCAGGTATTTATACAAGAAAGCTTTCATAATCAAAATGGTTTACCAGAATAAAATTAGAGGAGAGGGAATCAGAAAAGTTTATTTGGATTGCGTAACTTGATTAACATCGCTCCAGTGAAGCTCAGAGCCTGAGTTTCGTATTCAGTAATAACAGCACGAATGTCTCCAGTTGTCATGAGCTGTTTTTTCATTGATAACCCTGTGTTTCTCTTATCAAACTAAGATCTGACAGTGTGCTCCTTCATTAACTGCAATGATCATTTGGAAATTGTGTCCGGACATCCGTTATGACTGGCAGCAAATTTGGTCTGCTGATGTAAGTGCTAGTGCGATTGCCGGTGACCTTAAGGATATTCTGTAAAAGAGAACTGGGTGACTAAGGCTGTTCTTGGTTGTCCAAACGAAATCCTTTGGCGGACGTTACCCATAAAAGCTCTACTGCAGGGATGTTCGACACGTGTTGGACTCTATCGATAGGACCGCACTATGGAACTGTTTGGTGAGAAATGGAGTACCTGAGAAGTATGTGTCGATTCTCAAAGAGTTATATCGTAGCGTTAGGCCTCATGGCCGACTTTTGCTACTTCGTCGTCTCCAGCGGAGTTCGGCAAGACTACCGTATATTGCTTTTTTACTTTGTCGTAGATGATGTTCTATAGAATTCGTTGTCCCTACTTGCAAAGGGTGCAGTCGAGCTCCTCCTAGGGAACAGAGTGCTTGACTTAGTATATGCCGATGTCATCACCATGCTAGGTGACAATACACAAGTAGTCCACAACGCTTTGAACGGGTCGGTGATCGAGGTATCCAGATACGGTGAGGATTTGCACCTTCCAAGTGCAAAGTGCTTGTTCAAGACTGGCAGGAGCCTGTGCCTGCACTCACTCTCTGTGTGGATCAGCTGGAAGTAGTGGAGGGCCTTAAGTACCTCGAAAGCTTGATCGCAGCTGTTAGAGGTGTTGGAGAGGAGATCACATCACAAATAGAGAATGCCAGAGCAGCTTCCGCCAACCAGCGACACCTGCGGCGCCACCATGGAATTCGACTGTCCCTTAATGAAAGGGTGAACATCGCCATGTTTTGTAGCGTTCTACTTTATGGTTTCCAGATATGGCTCCTCCTCGTTGAGGATACTAATCGACTTTCTGTATTCGACCACTGATGTCGCCGAAGCATTGCTCGTGTCTGGTAGAAACATCGGATGAGCAATGATGAGGTTCGTTGTC